CCCTTTCATACCTTTCAGGAGAGGGGATGGTCTGGCCCAAGCCAGAGCCACAGCCCTGTTCTATGCCAGCTCTACCCCCTGACACAGGGACTCAAACTTCTGTCCAAGACTCTTACACTGATTTTTAAAACTTCTGCAAGGCTGGGCAAGTTTCCACGATGGCTTTAACATATCATCTGTGTCCTCTCCACAGACCAACACGAGCACGCTGTCCTGTATTCTGAAGCACACAGACCTCACACTCTTGCTCGCAGATCAAAACTTACATTGAATTATTAACAGTGAACACCGCCGCAAATACATCAGCTGTGCAGTCTGCTCCTAGGCTGAATCTCCACCATTCCTGAAGTCCTCCCCACATATATCAAGGTACCCAGATACCCCCCATCCTAAAGCCCTCCCTGAATCCTACTGGGAGCCACTTCTGCTCCCCACTTACAGCTCCTCCTAGCTGCCTGGAGAAAAAGGCAATATAATTAAAGGCACTATAAAAAGACAATATAATTAAGCACATATTGTCAGGTGTGGTGGTGAAATCCTATAATCCCAGCACTCAGGAGGCTGAGGCAGGATCGCCTTGAGTTCAAGGCCAGCCTGGGCTACATAGTGAGGTCAAGGTCAGTCTGACCTGTATAGCAAGACACTGTTTCCAAAACAAAACAAAAACTAACACATATAACTGGCAAATACAATCAGCGTAGAACAAGATAAGATGGGACCCTCCTTCCGGCTCCAAATTCAAAGCCAATCCCCACCCTAGACTGCTGCTGCTGCTGCTGCTGCTGCTGCTGCTGCTGGAGCACACTTGGGACCAAGTTTCTCCTGTCTAGAAATGCAGGTGACAAGGGAAGTAATTGGAGTCCTCCTTGACACTACTCAGCATTACACTGGAGACAGCCTCGGTGACCCACAGACAGGCCTCCAGGCCAAGTTTCAGCCCAGGAGGTAGCTCTTCAGTGCAGTTCTCCAGGGCTGTTAAGCTGATGGGCAGCAGGAAGCATTTCTAAAAGGAAAGGGTGGGCTCTGTGGGGTCAGGGGAACTGACCACTCAAGTCCAGCCCCCAGCCTATGAAAGGGGATCGACTACACCTAGAGTGCTGCCCTCAGGAGGCAGAAGTCAAGGTCAGAAGAGCATCAAGGCCCCAAATCCAAAAGGCCAATGGCCCTAGGAAGCCAGAAACCAGCCAAGAGCAAAGAGAACAAAGCTGTGAGGATCTTAAAGTTGAACAAAGGCTTCCACAGCCAGCTCCCTCACCTGGGTCAGACAGACAGACATGCGCAGGCGTGCACGCGCACATGCATGCACCCTGGGCAGCCACAGAGGTCAATTCTTCATCCACATCCCCACCTCCTTGCATCCCTTGCCTCCTCCTCGCCACAGACACTCACTCGTGCTCACAGTCACAGAACATCACCCACACAGTGCCTGTGCCATTCTGATTGCTGGAACAACTGGTGACAGTTGTGGGTTCAAACAGGCACAATGGAAGAAATGCAGGAAATCACTGAGCTTCTCCCAGAGGAGTAGAGGGGTGTAAGGAGTGGAATATGGATGGGACACAACGCAGTGTCCCAAGGGTGGAGGGGGGTCAAAATCCACATCAAGCAGGGTCAGTGTGGCTGCATCAGAATACCCCACATCTGAAGAAGACTCTACTTTTCAAAGAGCTTTTCCATCCATTTTCACCCGCTAGGGTAACACTGGGCAGTGTTACCAGTGTAACTGGCCTCCTTGAGCTCAAAGGACCACCCCACCCCACAGGGGGACCAAAGACACTGTCTCTGAAATAATCTTTGACACCTTCGCATGGGTAATAGTTGTGGGAGCGTGATTGTTTGTGTGTGAGTGCACAGAGGCTTTATGTAGCAGAGTGGGATACAGTCAAACAAAAATGAAGTTGCCATGGCAACAGGCTCCGGCATCATTGCAGCCTATTAACACAAGTGAGGAATGTGTTTGGCAGATGCTCCAGTGTTATTTATGGTATGGGTGTAGCAGAGGGACTTCTAACAGGCAAAAGAAGAGGGAAAAACAACCCCGTGACGCTCCTACTGTACCCCAGTGAGCAAATGAGACAACAGCAAGACAAGAGCACAAAAGGGCTCAGAGACCATGAACGGGCAGTAACGGAGGAAAGGGCAGAGAAAGCAGGGAGGCTAAGGGAAGGAGAGGTGGGCAGAGAGCAACAGGCGGCTGGAGGGTGAGGGCAGAGAAAGGAAAGGCACAGGCAAGGAGAGCGAAAGGGCAGAGGAGGAGGGTGACAATCCAGAGGAAGCCAAGAGCTGGAGGTACAGACGTGGAAGCAAGAAGCACCATCCCACAGGGGCTGCTGCACCTTGCTCTTACTTGCCTGCTTAGTGAAAAGCAGCCAGTTAAGACAGCAAATGCTTCTTTTCCTAAATGGAGCCAAGGACAGAGCCCAAGCATAAAAGAGGCTGGGGAAAAACAAAATGCACAGGTCGATAATGATAGGGAGGACCTGGGCCCTGCGTGGAATGGGCTGGCCTTGCAGGAGGAGAAGTGAAGCAATGCCCAGGCCGTTTACTCTGGGCCTCCCACGTGCAAGGCACTGTGAAGGACACATCTCAAAGCCTCAACACTAGAAACCATTTCTGACCACCCTTCACCCTAGACAGGTGTCTTCATGTGAAAAATAAAAAAGGCATCTACTCTGAGCCACCCCAAATGCCTGCCACGTTGGCCTAACCTGAGGCAGAAGTTAAGGCTATTCTGTATCATTCAGATTCCTGGACCACCCAGCACACTTTGCTCAAGAAAGACAAATTTTGTATCAAGCATAATCAGAGAAGCAAATCAAGTCCAAACAAAAAAGGATACAGTTTTCCCTGAAGCCAAACAGAAAGAATGTTTACATTCTCTTGTCTTGGACCATTCCTATCCACCACTGTTGGGCTTAGAGCAGATTTCCCTAAGTCCACCCAAAAGCCTACAGCCAAGGAAAAGTCTAGAGTGCACAATGGGTAAAAGAAGATTGGGGCAAGAGCTGGTGGAGTGGGGAGGGGACAGAGAGGACTTTGCCTGGACAGCCAGAGGGGAGGGCAGACAGACACTATTGCAATGGCATTTTCACGCTAAAACGGAATTGCAACACCCCAAGTTCAGAACCCTTTTTCTGGGATCTGATGCCAAGCTCCTGAAATCAGAGGTCCAAGATTGCTGAAGGCTGTAATCAGACCCTGTGTCCCACATCTGATTCAGAAAATACCCTGAACTATCTTGAAAATCTGCTCTTCCACACAGATGACATGCCCTTCACTCTGCAGCAAAGCTGCACCCAGCCAAGTCAGGAACACTCCCCCCAGATGCAATACACCAGGCTGAGCGCATGGGCTCTCAGGCCAAAAGACAGCCTTCCAAAGCACTAACAATAAACAGTAGTAACTCTTTCAAACCACTGCCCCTCAAAAGAGTCTTCTAAATTCAAATCTATTATCTGAAATTTTTAAAAAATTATTTTCTTTTGATCCTAGTTCACAAAAACTTTAACTTAACATTACAGTTCCACCTACTCCACTTATTGGACCCTAACCAAGCTGGCAGCAGTTATTAAATCACTAAGTATTCTGCATTATGCTAGCCAAGGGGGAGAGAGGAGAGAAAACATGGGTACCTGAGGATTCCTGCAGCCAGCAAGGTTCCATCCACTGCCCAGGAAGCTAAACCAAAAGGACACTGGAGAGTAAGTGCTCCAGTCTATGTCTCGGGTAATCATGCACAAGAGGAAGAGCACCATGTGGCTGGAAAGAAGGTTCTTTGCAGGGGTACAGCTTGGTACAGAGAACATAAGAGTGGAAGGGGCATAATCAGTCCTCTTATTCTGTAGGTTAAGAACCTGGAACCCAGAGAGGTTCCATGAACGCTGCAGGTTCAGCAAGAGCCCAGCACTCTGAAGCCCATTGGGAGTATGCATCCAGGAAGCAAAGGGACACAGGAGCACCCCAACAAGACCGTGAAATGCTACAGGTTCTATGAGAGCACCAGGCACCAAGAGGAGCGGGGTGTGCAGTGTGCAGTGGGGTCCTTCCTCGGTGAAGTCACACACCTGAAGCAAGGTCAAACTTGCCTCTCTCAGCAGAGCACCATGAAAACAAGCAGGCTCAGCATGGGCCATGTGTTGGGACAGACAACAGGACGCCAAAGGGAGCAAGTGTGGATGTCAGAAAGGCGGCCTCACCCTGAAGTCGGGATGGCAAGCATTCCCCCTCCCAGAGGCATGGAACCACCATTAACTAGACAGAAGTTTCATTTCCTCCCTGACCCATAGTTCTAGGTTTGCAACAAATCTCCGTGGAGATAAAAAGCCCCCACCAGCAGCCATGACCAGGAGCACCCACTGGAAAGGATCAACATAAGCTTCCTGCCCAGTCCAGGCAGGGGCCCACCACCCACAGCTCTGTCGCTGCTTGCCACCTTTGCTGACTGCAGCTGGTTGGCTTGGGGCACTTTGGTACACAAAACAAAATTGTTACTCCTTCAGGGGCATCACCGCCAAAAACTGCTGGAGACAGGCCTCTGTGTTATCCTATCTCCTCCTTAAGAGTGGGCAAGGTGTGCCCAGTCTCTCTATCCTAACCCTTTATCCAAGTCTCTATGAACAAATCAGTCCTGACGCTCATGACTGGGTGGCTTCTAGAAGCCCCCGCCAATTTTGTTTGAGACCTTTGTATTTAGGGGCAGAAGCTCTGGGAAAGATGGGAACTTCTACATGTAATTTTTTCCAACACTTCTTTCTCACTAGAATCCCACCAATAATGGCTACAGTTTGGAGAGTGTTGTTTACCCGGCCGGCAACATTACAAATAAATAAGACAAGCACACTCTTGTAAATGAGAGCGCTGGGACAAGAGAGGTCAAGAGGCCTGTGTCATCTTGCTGGCTCTTGGCTGCTTGAGAGGCTGAGGGTGGAATGCCTTTCTCTGGAATCAGGCGAGGCCTGCCCGCCCCACAATCCAGTCCCTGTGGCCGTGTAGGCCCCTACCTGCTTGAGCAGGAACTGGTCCTGGGCATTGGTTCGTAGGGCGATGGCCAGGTGGAGCGCAGACAGGAGCACCCCGCTGAACACCGCGGCCCGCATGCGCACGGGCAGCAGCGTGTAGATAGTGTAAATGAAAAAAACGGTCCACCAGATGCCCTCGGAGGCGCTGCGTGGCTGCGGCATCAGCAGGCCCACGACCTGGACCGCCAGCACCACCGCGATGAGCGCATAGCAGGCCAGGCCCATGTGGTCCTGGTGGAAGGCGGCTCGGTTGCACAGCACGGCCATGACGAGGATCACACCCACGGCGGCGGTCAGCACGCCCAGGTAAGGCAGCTGGAGCGGGGGCCGCGCCGCGTGGAAGGCCAGCATGACGAGGCACACGAGCACCAGCACGGCCATCAGCATGGTGAGGCTGCTCTGGTTCAGGCGGAAGAAGTAGCGCTGGTACAGCCGCTCCAGTTTGTCCGACGGGAACTTCTTGGAGCGGAATATCTGCAGCAAAGCCAGGCAGCAGGCGCCCAGCGACAGCACCGCGCCGGGCCCGGAGCTCGAGCCAGCCGAGCTGCCGCCATCCCCGGACCCCTCGTCGCCCTCGACGGCGCCGGCCTCCAGCTCGTCG